GACGACAGTCGTTCGCGCCCATCCTTCCCCAGCGACGCAGGGGGGGTCGGGGCAGGAGGGGCGCGCTCTCGCGGAGGCGATGGACGCCACCCCCGCGGGCGACCTCCCTCGCGCCGCCGACCCGCGCGGCCAGAGGTTCAAGAGCTGCGAGGCCAAGGCCCAACCAAGGAGGCAGCAGGGCACTGGCTGGCAACGCAGCACGAGCTCCCCCCGAGGCGGGCGATCGGTCCAGAAGCCCCGGCCGGGCAGATGCCGGCCGGCCATCTCCATGCCTGGGGAGAGAAGGTGAGCGAGATCGAGGACAGGTCGAAGAAGGGGGGGAAAGGTGCCGGCCAGGGAGTCCGGAGCCTCGCGGGGCAGAACGATCCGCACGAGGTGGTCTGTCAAGCAAGGGCGCAAGAGAGACCCGACGCTCGAGGCGAGGTCGGCCCAGGGGCCCCCGCAGGTCAGGCATCCGCCCGGGCGGGCTCCCGTCGTGGAGCTGCCCCTCTTCAGAAGGCGAGCGGCAGAGCCAAGCGGGAAGCGGTCGCTGAAGGTGAAGGAGAAGGAAGCCCATCAGCCCGCCGCTCAGTCAGGCTCAGCAGCGGCGGCGCCCCCGAAGGGGCGGGGCAAAGGCAGGCTGCTGGCCGCTGGTGTTGAAGCGGGCATGTCCTTCCACATGAAGAATCTTCAAAGATAGCCACGCAACAAAAGAATCAGGTGCGCTGTTCTACTACATGTGATGTTTGTTGCGCATGTTTGGGCTATATTTTTGGTCGTCCAAGACCCGTTTGTAGGAGGGCACGCCCGACCTAGCGCTAGGGCAACACCTTCAGCGCTAGGGCAACATCACCTTCGCTCCCGGTCCAGTCGCCATGTGCACGGCGGAGGGTGATCCTGACGCCAGCGGTCCGGGAGCAGACGGCCGCAGTTCGGCACGCCGCCGGCCCGACAGGGGGGGGGGGGCGCGGGGGGGGAGGGTGGGCACGCTTCGGCGGCGGCCGCCGCGAAGCCAAGGATCGGGGGGCGGGCACGTGCGAGAAAGGCTTGAGGTGTCGCGCAGGCGAGAGCATCTTCCAGCGGACATCCCTCTTGGAGCCAGGGGAGCTGACGTTCAGGAGAGTGGCAGGATGGCCGGGCGAGGCGCTGCGCAGCCTCCACAGCGAGAAGCGGAGCATCGCGAAGATGGGTGCGCGAGCACTGCGACTCGCCCTTCGCTCTAGCACGAGGCTGGGGCAGATGGCGCGGCAGACCTTCACAGCAGCGCGCCGGGCGGTCGAGATCACCGCGCGGCGGAGGGGCGCGCCGCCGCTGCCGCTGCCCAGCGACGGCGACTACATCCGAGCGCTGTTCCAGTACTTCAGTGACCCCACGCGGAGCATGGAGATCTACGGCGGGGACAACCGCCGCGACTTCCGACGGAAGGTTGGCGCCAGCGCCCAGGTCTGCCTCCAGGCCTCGTCGCGAGCCACCTCAAGCCAGACCGCGGCTTCATTGAGGATCTGCGCGCATCGGCCGAGGGAAGGCACGCGGCGGCGCAGCAGGAGACCATCGAGAGGCTGGAGGGGTGTTGCCGCGCACCTGTGCGCTTTGAACGTCGCAGCGCGGCCGGGTCAGTCAGCACGCGCGCTCGGCAGGCCAGGAGACGGCGTTGCTAATTAGCCCAGATGCAAGAGGAAGGAAAGCGCACCTGCGCACGCGCCACGGCAGCGATACCGTCGCCCCGAAAGCGGCCTAGAAGTGGAGGTCATGACGACCAGTTTCAGGCACGGCGAAGTGGTGGCCAAGCCAGAGATGATCACTTGGGGCGCTCGGGGTTCGCAAGACGCGGGACGCCCCGCCGGGATATCCACATAGGTTTAGGCCGATCGCGAACATCACGCCGACCAACGCTTGCCAGACCATGACCTAGGTGACATCGACAAGCAGCCGCCCCCTGGGGAGTACCCGCAGGCGGTGCTCATGGACGACGAGGTCGCAATCCTCTCGGGCGACGACATCTCAGGCGGCTTCCACCTGCACGCGCTGCCACCCCACTGGTGGCGCTGGTTCACCGTCTCTAAGCCGCGTCGCCCTTTCAGTCCCGACGTACGGGACGAGCGCGCTTCAGTATGTGTGCGTCACGGTGATCCCGATGCAATGGCTCTCTGCGGTCGGCGCGGCGCATCCTATGCTCCGCCTGATCGTGACCACCGGCCTGAGAGAGTGGCTGCCAGCCAGGAGGTGCGGCGCGACGTGCTCTTCCCGGCTCGGGAGTCGGAGGGCAGTACTCCTATTGAGGAGCTGTGGAGGGGGCGAGGGTGGTGACGAAGTGGAATGGCCGGGGAAGCGGGGCGGCGATGGGAGGGGAGGGGGCGCGGCGATGGGACGAGGGAAGTGCATGGCGAGGGGAGGGGAGGGGAGGGAAGGCAAGGGGATGGGAGGGGAGGGGGCGAAGTAGGGCGGAGGGAGGCGGGCGGCGAGGCGAGGGGAGGGGAGGGGGCGAAGGTGCGACGAGGGGGCGAGGGGTGGGACGAGGGGGCGAGGGGTAGGCAAGGGAAAGGGCAGGACATCTTCTTCCACTTCCTGTCCGACGTGCTCCAGTCACGTCAGGTGCCCGACATGGAGGGCAACAAGTTCAACATCACCCCGGTGGAGTGCATCCTCCTCCTCCCCTCGTTCTTCTTCTCTTCCTCTTCCTCATCATCCTCCTGTTCCTCTTCATCCTCCTCCTCCTCCTCCTCCTCCTCCTCCTCCTCCTCCTCCTCCTCCTCCTCCTCTTTCGCCTCCTCCTTTTCCTCTTTCCTATTGTGTCAGGGCGCAGGCTTCCACCAGACCGCTAAATCTGAACAATCAAAACATCAAAGCGATAACATCGGCAATCAATCAACACCTAAAGGGCGTGGCTGAATCGTCCACCGATCAGGTCCAGCATGGATTCATTCCGGGTAGGAACTATGTTCGACACAATCTGACCATGGACACCGAGGCTCGGATTGCATGTCTTGATGTTGCCGCAGAGAATGATAACCAGTTTTTATCAGTTTCGATTTTGCTTCGGCTTATCCGAACCTGAATCTGTTTAAAGTGCTCGAGTGTTTCAAGATTCCGATAGGATACCACTTATCGATCTCGGCTTTGTACTCCCAGATGGTAGGTTACTTCCGCGTTGGCGGGTCTAGGTTGCTATCAATCCCCATCCGTTCCGGCGCGGCCCAGGGATGCCCGCTCAGTGGAACGCTTTGGGCATTAGGACTGGATCCTTTCCTCCGCCTCCTCCTCCCCTCTCGGGACTCTTGGGAGCCTGCGCCGACGACATCGGCTCGATGTTGCGTTTCCTTGCCATCGTCCGAGTTCTCGAGCCCTGTTTGTTCGGTTGCAGAGACTTGCCACGCTTAGTCTTCAAGCATCTAAGTGCGTGGTCGTGCCGCGATGGACTGAGCCCTCACAACAGGTGATAGACTCCATCCGTGAGACGCTGGCGCGCCTCGCCCCAACGTGGACCGGGTTCCGCATTCAAGATCAGGCCAAGTACTTCGGAACGTTCATCGGTCCTGGCGCCACGCTTGCGCTGATTTGGGACGCCTCACGTCAGACATATGTCGCCCGATGTAAAGAACTAGGCATGCTGCAAGCGTCTGCCGATGTAACGTCCAGATTGCACAACGCGTCGGCAACCTGTCTATGATATTTGAGCCAGTTCTACCCACTGAGCCGAGCACTTCAGAAACAAGGGCTGTGGGGAATTCAAAAGCGTTACACCTCCACCCAAACTCATTGGCACTCTGGGAGTTTCTCTCTCTGTGCTCTTGGTCCCCCCTCCTCTCCCCAATCCATGGCCTGCACGGAGATTGCCAACGCTTGGCGATCATCTTCCATGACCCTCGACACTGGATGGGGTCCTCTTTCTCGCCGCCTCAAGCATGCTGCCGATCTCCTCACAGGAAATGTCGGTCACATTCCTGTACAGGGTCTGTTTTGGAACGAATGATGTGCGCCGTGCTGGAAGATGAAACAGTCGACTGTACAGCTCTATAAAGTCTTTCGCTCTTGCGAGCCGTGTTAGCGCCCTCCTCTTTCGTCTTCTCAACTCCGCTCCGCTCAGCGCGCCATGGGCGCTGGGCCGTGCGAGAAGCAGTCGAGACTGGTAGGAAACCGAAAATGTAGAGTGCATATCTCAAGTTTATGTTTCACGAAGCTTTTCCTGATACACCCCTAGGACGAAGGTGTTTTTCTCTCGGGCCAAGAACAACGGCTTCAAATATTGAGCAGACGCGCGTGAGATAACCGCCGTCAGATCCCATGAAGTTCACGCGGATCCAATTGTGGTTTTGGTGTTTGTGTCGGTGGATCCAGTTTCCGTCCGCGCGGATCCGATTTCGGATTGTCTGGATCCGTGTTCGGTTTGTTCTACGGTGCATCCGATGCTTACCCCGTTGTAAATTTATGTTATTCAAATTAAAAACGAAACGGGGAACCGGAGGAAATCGGATCCGCGGACCCCTGAACCCACCCGCGTTAAGGTTCTACGGGGGAAGGGGGTTCGGTCATTATTTGACCTGGATGCATCCTCAACTCACTGGTCCCACGCGCTCCCATTGACTTTCCGCGCACGCGGGCACAACTCAACATTAATGCACATTTCTCTTACCGATTGCTACGCGCAACTCGTCCAGACGCCATTCGTTCGGCAGTGCCGACGTTATGGGTCCAATTCATCATCGTCATTTGCCCTCAAGAGGAACATCTTTCGCCCTGCGTAACTAAGCTTAACCTCCTGATTGGACGTCGTGTGCGGTCATGGTTCACCATCCCCACACGACTTCAGGAGCGGTTGGATCTGGCTCAGGACATCCTGCTCCGTGCTCCTGCCTCTTTTCGGTGGCCCTATTTGAAGACGGTCGCGGGGGGGTGGACGACAACGGACCGCATGCACGCAACCGAGGAGCGTTGGAGTTGTGTATTTGGCTGTCCCGGCCGTCCAGACAGCATCGCTCACTATTTGCGATGTCCTCGACTCACTCACCTCGTGGGTCTAGCTCGTGCGGTGGTGCCTCCGTGTCCCCTCATCCGTCTCGGGCTCGGCCTGCCAGTTCTCTACCCAGCGTTTGATTGAACTCGTGAACATGCCGTGCTGGCTACATCCCTGTGCTTTTATATTCACCATATAGCCAAGGAGATGGTCAGTCGACAGCATGGTCAGCCTCTCGATTTAAACCAATCCCTCGTGGCCCTGAAAGCGGAGCTCACGACAATGCCGGACAATTACTCGAGTCGTCCAACTCCGCCTAACGCGCCTAGGCCATACAGTTGGCTCAGGCCGAGGCGTCGAGGCTGAGCTTGACAGACTCGGGGAGGTACTGGCACTCTTCCCCCTCCTCCTCCTCCTCCTCTTCCTCCTCCTCCTTGTCCTCCATCTCTTTCTCCTTCTCCTTCTCCTTCTCCTCGTCATCACCCCTCCTTTATCACTCATCCGTCCTTCACTCATCCTCCATCTCCATCCTCATCCTCCTCCTCCTCTTCCTCCTCCTCCCCCCCTTTCCTCCTACCCTCCCGCTCACCACTCCTCACCCTTCCTCCCTTTCCTGCCCACCCATCACCCTGGAGGTGGACTGGGTCGCCAAGGCCATCGTGGCCATCGCCATGGCCCCTGGGGGCAGCGACGCGCCAGCCGGCTCCACGTTCCACCCCGCGGCCCCGGGCAACGCCGTCACCATGGGGGTGTTGGCCGCGGTGCTGCGGGAGCCCGCGGCGCGCGCAGAGGGGCAGGGCAAGGGGCCCAGCCCTCGCACCTCTGTACATCAGACAAGATATAGTGTGCGGGTGCGAGTGGATCGATGGCTAAATTTAGATATATATATATATATATATATATATATATATAGATATACATACAGGTAGTTAGACAGGTGGATGGATGGATGGATGGATGGATGGATGGATGGATAGAGAGACAGATGGATAGATTGATTGGTAGATTTGGCAGGTTGAGAGAACGGTAGATTCATGTCGAAGTAGCTAGATTGTCATATATGATCCCGGGCTCTGGGCCCACGGCCCCCCCCCAGATGGAATGGGTCTCAGAGTCCCTCGGGCGCCCCCCCGACCCGGATGGGATGGGGGGGGTATAAGACGACGGCGACGGCGACGACGACGACGAAGACGAAGGCGACGACCACGACCACGACCACGATGTCTACGACGACGACGACAACGGCTACGCCGACGACGGCGACGACGACGAAGAAGACGACACCGTCCGTTCCGGCTCCCTGCAGCACCGCAACACCACGCCACACCCAGACGGAGGCGACGACGGGGAGACACCGTCGACGACGATATTTCTTCTCATCCGCCCTCCGTCCCCCTCCTCATCCCTCAATCCTCGTTCCTTGGCCTCTCCTCCCTACCTTGCTCCCTTCTCACTTCTCTCATCGCCATGTACGGAGACAAAGGCAGATTGAGAACGCGGGTCGAAAGCAGCAGCCGCTATCTTCGCGCAGGAGCCCCAGTGCATGAACCAGTAGGGTTGCGCGCCTTTAAGACACTCGGATAATCGGGGGCGGCAAAGAGGGGGGTGATGACAGGGGGGGTGGATATCATGGCGTGGGCCATGATGTTTCCCCAGATGTCATGGCGCCTCTTCTTATTTTATCACGTCCCTGGTCCCCCCCGTGGGCCGCGCACATGCCGCCGGCCATGATTTGCGCCCCCCTCTTGGACGCCCCCCTCTTGGCCGCCTCCGAGATAAGGGAAAGAAGAAAACACGGGGAGAGGAAACTAGGCCATTGCACAAAACACTATTCGGACACCCGAAATGGGTACGGAAAGAATGGGTACGATGCCCAACAACAGTTCCTGTTCATTTTGAACAGGACTCGCTGTCCGCGCCGCCGCGGCCTGTGTTCATTCGAGACAGAAGGCCGCCTGCCCAACAGCGGCCGCTGTTGGTTTGGGACAACATTTGTTGTTGGGCATCGTACCCATTCTTTCCGTACCCATTTCGGGCGTCCAAACACTAGCTCGCTAGTCGCTCTCTCTTGTTGTCCCGGGCGGCTGCGTCTGACTCACCGTGGCCTGCGCACCGAAGGCACGGCGCGCGTCTCTCGGCCGTGCCAGAGCGGCCAGCTCGGGCTCCGTGCTGTCGCTCCAGAGTTTCGTGCACCGCCGCGCAAACTTGCGTGCCTCTAGAACTCGCGGAGAGGGAGGAGATCAGGAGTATCGGGCCGGGCGAAAGGGGGGGATTGGGAAAGGGGGGGTTACGAAATTTGCTGCATGCAGCTGGTTTCGGCCTCACCGAGGGGCCCATTCCTCGATACATGGCCGCCTCCGGCGCCGGGAGGCGCCGGGAAAAATCAGCTACGTGAGCTGATTCTGAACCCCCCCCCTTTGCTATCCCCCCCTTTCGCCCGACCCGAGAGTAGAGGAAAGGGGGAGCTGACAACATGCGTAATAATCACGATTATGAGTCCACGCACGCGGCATACGCAGCACCAGCGCTAGCCGATAGCCTAGCCCATGCGGCTCGCTGGGCGCTTCTTGGCGACGGACGTCTTGGTTCTCATGCTGGCCCTCTTGGGGGGGCAGGCGTCTGTGGCCGAGTTGTCGTCCGCGGAGTAGTCGTCGTCGGTATCGTGCCTTTGCGTCCGTCGCATCTTGGAATAGCAGGTCTTAGTGGTTGGGCGACAGCAGCACACATAGCGGGGGTGCCCAAACGTCACCGGCGTCCTCATCGCTGGCCTCGCCTTCTTCCTCCCACGTCTGTGTGAGGAGGTTCTTGATTTCCGCCCCCCTTCTGGTATGCGATCACGGGCGCGCCCGCGAGCCTCGCGAAAGCCGCCAAGTTGAAGAAAGTCGCAAAGGTGCAGGGCTGTTTCTGGTACTGGAAGTTGGCATCTACGTCGAAGTCCGAGGAGTCATGCACGGCGTGGGGCTCCATCCACTGGGGGTCATCAAGCATATCTTTATGATCTGCGGGCGCAAAAGTCTCTTCTGCTTGGGCGTGGATGTTTGGAACCACTTCTGGGTGCACTCGGTCACCGAAAGCTGCTGGCGCTGCTGATGTTCATCCTCGCTCTTCATCCCTCTTCCATCCTCCCCCACTCCTCCTGCTTCTCCTCGTCATCAACGTCCTGCTCGTCCTCCGCCATGCGCGTGCTTTGCTTTGGGCCCCGAGGGCCCTGAGGCGCAAGGCCATGCTTTCCCGGTCGTCATCGAGGAACACGCCCGTCATCCTGACGGTAGCCGCCCGGTACAAGCATGCGCCGTCCCCTTTCATTGTGAAGATTCGCCACTTCTGCCCTTCGGTCCCAAGCCACACCGTCGCGCAGATGCCCAACACGCACGGCTGGATGGAGTCGCTCCACTTCCCGAGCTCGCTCTGTTTGTCGGGCTGCAGGGTTTTCGGCATGAGCTTGGGCTGCGTGTCGTGCTTGGTCGAGACGGCGCCGGTACCGATCTCGTTCACCTCCACCAAGCCGCCGTTGACCTCGCGCACAAAGTACTCCCGACGCTCGCCTCCTGCGTGGTGGAACTTCGGGTCCCTGGTCTTCGATGCGTACTCCATGTTGAGGCAAACTATTCCGTCGCCCGACACGAGCGCGTCGGCGCCCTTGGCGCTAGCTTTCCGTTGCCGCTTGAGGCGCTGACACATTCGCGATGGCGTCTTGCATTGGCTGCACTTTTGCGTCGACCTCGTTGCAAAATGCCCGAGGACCTGCGCCCCCGGCCATGATCTCCTGGTGCTCCCCTCGAGGAAGGTCGCCCCCTCCGCATCCGCAATGGGCTGCTTGCCGTGGACGATTGCCCTAGTATCCGCGTCCTGCCACCTGGTGGCGGTAGGGCGCAGGACGCGCCCGAGCGTCTCTGGCGTGGGCTGGTTCCCCCTGGCCGGGCAATTGGTTGAAGGCCAGCACAGAAGGTGCCAAACTGTCCCGGTGGCCACCGTGCTTCAAGTCAAGGATACGGTTGTGCACTTCGACCAGCCCGTTGGACTGTGGATGGCCTAGGGCGATGTGCCTCGCCTTTATGCCAAACGCCTCGTGCATAGCATCCTCGACGACGTTTCTGAACTGGCCCCCTTTGTCCCATCCCCACGGAGACGAGGTCGTGGTCGCGCGCGAAACGCAGCATGATGGACTGCACGTCCTTGAGGTTGATCTTGTCCACGTCCAGATCCCACGCGAACGCCTTGTTGCTGGCGAAGTCGATCGCCGGCCGCCGGCAGCACGACCCAGGGATCACATTTGAGCGGGACCGTCCCCTTCAGGTCCCAGCCGACCACCTCTCCAGAGGAGTTCGGCCTGGGCATGTGCTTCGGTTCCGAGTCGGCAGTGCCCGGCGCGCTTCGCGTTCGGCATTCCTGCGAGAGGGTGACGGCCCCTTCCCCCCATCGTCGTCCGCCTCCTCCTCTTCCTCCTCCTCCTCCTCCTCCTCCTACTCCTCCTCCCGGATTGGGGGTGGGAAGGCCGGACCCCATACCCACCACCGCACGCCCACAGGGGAAGACCCCACCACGCCACGCCCACAGGGAGGAGGGGGCCCATCGCGCGGGGGGGGGGGGCCGATGGCGTCAGCATGAGGGGGGGAGGAGGGGGCTCAGACCCTGGATCACACACACACACACACACCTATATATAGATACACAGACATACCTTCTTACATACATACATACATACATACATACATACATACATACATACATGCATGCATGCATGCATGCATGCATGCATGCAGATATACATACGTATATACATTCATCAGTGCGTACATACATACATACATACATATTTACATACATATGTACAGACGTTCATGCGTACGTGCATGTATACACGCATACATCCAAAGTCACGTCTATACGTACATACATGCACACAGCTATACAAACAAACGTAAGTACAAACATACATGCAAGCATACGTGCACCTACACATACATACATATATGCATGTATACATATAAGTATGCATGCATACGTACATATATACATGCGTATATACATACAAACACGCATACACACCTACACACCCACATACATATATACATGCATACATGTATGCATATACACATATACACATACACACGTACCCGCATACCTACATATTCACGTACATGCATGCATATTTTCATATAGACTTGCATGCATAAGTTCATGCATAGTTACATATTAGCATGAACACACGCACACAGACATGTATGGATACATACATACACACACGTTCTATAGACGTACAAGTAGATGCATATAAACATACACACAGACATGCATACATACATATGTATGGCTGCATACATATATATGTATATATATATGTACGCATACATGTATGTGAATGTCTGCATGTGCGTATATATGTGTATTAAATACAAATATGGGAGATCCTGGCCCTGGGCCCCCAGGCCAGCCCGTCCCTTGTACATTCTTGGTTCCCCCCCCGGCGGTTCTCCTGGAGGCCCCCGAGGCTCCTGGACCGCCCGAGAGCGCTCCAGGAGCGCCCAAGGCAGCCTCCAGACCGCCCAGGAGGCCTCCAGGACGCCCCGACAGAGGCCCACGAGCGCGCCGAGACGGCCCAATCTAGAAGATCGACCAGACGTAAGAGTTACCTTTCGCCGGAGTGACCTTTGGTGCGGGCCCAACGGGGTCCCCCGATCGCCGAACGCGAGGCGCCAGTGGCGTCTTGCGCGATTGTGTTTGGCCCCCCCGCGGACCCCAAAAAGCCGCGCACCAAAGGTCACTCTTACCCAGGGTCATCTTGCGTGAAGTCGAGAAGACCCAAGAGGCTTCCCAAGAGGGCCCCAGGAGGCCAAATTCGTCGCATTCCCTTCGGGAAGCGTCTATTTTTATCACGCTCGCTTGTTCCTATCTTGACGAAGTCCAAGACTCCCCAGAAGGCGCCAGAGAGGGCCCCAAGACGGCTCCAGAGGGCCCCAAGACGGCCCAAGAAGGGGGCAGAAATCGGTCCCTCTGGTTCGCATCGGGGGCCCAGCGGACCTCCGCGCTCCAAAAGAGCCCTCCAGGGGGCCCGGAGGGTATCAAAAGAAACCTTCAAGGGAGCCAGAAAGAACCACAGCGGTCCCAGCACGCCGACCACTGCTTCGAAACCGCTCCCGTGGCCTCCACCACGCCGCAAGAAAGCTTCCAGCTGATCCCTGGGAGAGGCTCCCAGGGCCGAAAATAATTCATTTCCCAAGTGGCTTTCAAGGATTTTTCGTGTGCTCACCTGCTCCGCTGCCCGACGCCCAGAGACAGCACAAGAGGCGCCCAAGGAGGTCCCAAGACACTCGAAGAGGGCGCCAAGACAAGACGACCTAAGAGGCGCCCAAAATCGCCCCAGTGGGGTCGGGCGGCCCCGTCAATGAGCTCAAATGAGCTCGGACGCGTTACAAGGTCCTTAAACGAGACCCACAGGGCCCCAAAACGGCCCCAGCACGTCCGTCACTGCTTCGATGCGGCCCCAGGCAGCCTCCGAGGCGCCCCAGGAGGGCTTCCAGCTCATCCCCGAGAGGCTCCAGGGGCGAAAAACATAGATTTCCGCATGGTCTTTCAAGGACTTTCGTCTGCTCGCCTGCTCCGCTGCCCGACGCCAGGAGACAGCACAAGAGGCGCCCAAGAAGGTTCCAAGACACCCCAAGAAGGCGCCAAGACGGCCCAGGAGGCACCCAGAATCGCCCCGGAGAGCTCCGAGCGGCGCCCAAAAGGAGCTCGGACACGCCACAAGGACCCCAAACGAGACCCTCAGGGCCCCCCATCGGCCCCAGCACGCCCATCATTGCTCCGATGCGGGCTCCGAGGCGCACCAGGAGGACATCAAGTTCATCCCCGAGAGAGGCTCTAGGGTTATGTCGGGCGGTTCACCCTACAGGGAGACTTTCGACGAAAAATTAAAGATACCCAGAAAAAAAACAAGACGGCAACAAAAATATTCAAAACATAGTCCCCAGCTTATTGTTTTGATTATTGTTTGATTATGTTTGGGGTATTTCTCATTTTTCGTCGAAAATCCCCCTGTATGGGGGACAGGCCCGACTTAACTCTAGGGGCGATACTCCATGATGTCCGCATGGCTTTTCAAGGAGTTTCGTGTGCTCGCCTGCTCCGCTGCCCGACGCGCGGAGGCGGCAAGAGCGGCGCCAGACAGGGCTCCAAGACGCCCCAAGCGGGCGCCAAGGCGGCCCAGGAGGCGCCAAAAAGTCGCCCCAGAGGGCTCCAGGTGCCCTGGCACGCCCACGCTCTCCCATCGGCTCTTCGTTGCGTTTCGCGTGGTCGCCCGCTCCGCTTCCCGACGCTCGGAGACGGCACACGAGGCGTGCACGGGCGCGCAAACGCGCCCCAAGGCGGCGCCAAACCGGCCCACGAGGCGCCCAAGGTGGCCTCAGAGCGCTGCAGGTGCCTCTTGGGGGCCTCTTGGGGCCTTTGGTGGGCTTCTTGGGAACCTCCTGGGGAATCCTGGAGGCCTCTCGGGGCCGAGTGCTCGAAATGTCCGTTCGGGCCCCCCGTCTGGGACCCCTCTTGGGGCCGTCTTGGGGGCCTCTTGGGCTGTCTTGGAAGCCTCTAGGGCTGTCTTGGGGCCCTCCTGGGCCGTCTTGGAGCCCTCTTGGAGGCCTCTTAGGTTGTCTTGGGGCCATATTGGGGGGCTATTGGGCCGTCTGGGGGCGTTGGGAAGCCGAAAAGGCGAGAACGCCAAATCAGTCTGAAACTTCTGGAGAATCAATGAGTTGTGCCTCTTGGGGGTGCTCCTGGGGCCCCTGTTAGAGTTTCTGGGCCGCCTGGGAACGATCATGGGGTGACTTGGGGCCCTCTTGGCTCCCAGGGCCTCCCAGAGCTTTCTGGGCATGTTTTGGGACCCTCCTGGCTCACCCAGAAGACGCACGCGTCACACCCCAGGAGCTCCAGGGAGCTCCCGGAAGTTCCGGGGAGCGCTCGGGAAACTGGGAGTCCTGGCCCTTGAGAACCTTTCGAACCGCTCACCTCTCATTGCTGCATGAGCCTTGCCTTGGGGACTTCGTGACAGAGGCAAGGTGGCTGATACATATGTTCTCATATGCACCGCACCTCTCTGAGGGGGTAGAGCTCGGATCCGATTAATTGAGGGTCCCGTCCCGTTCGAGGTGTTTCTGGCCGTTTCGCCCAGGGCATCTCAGAATTCGGAAAATCGGTGGCACCATGCACGCAGATCGCGACGTCAGCGTCCAAAAACACAAGGGGCTTGCTAGATGTTGTCATCAAACTTCGAAAACGATTCTTAAACACATGCAGTTTCGCCTGAAACATCCTCCCAAAATCGAGTCCCGACGTACAACACACGCGACTACACACAAAACACATACACACCGCAAAGCACACACACACATATACAAACACACACACAACACGCAAAACACAACACATAACAAACACACACACACACACACACACACCACGCAGAGAACATACACAAGACCTGCAACACGCAGAACACACACACACAACAAAACTAATATACACACAATTACCCCAGTGCGACCCTACCTAGAAGTTGGAGCCCCTAGGAAAGCAGCATTAGTTGCTATGCCATGCCATGCTGTGCTGTGCTGTGCTACGCTATGCTGTGCTATGCTATGCTGCGCTATGCTATGCTATGCTATGCTAAGCTACGATATGTCATGCTGCGCTATGCTATGCTATGCTATGCTGCGCTATGCTATGCTGTGCTGGGCTATGCTATGATATGCTGTGCTGCGCTATGCTATGCTGTGCTCTGCTATGCTGAAGCTCAGCGAAGCTAAGATGAAGGTAATATAAGCTAAGATAAACCTGAGCTAAGATGAAGCTAAGCTAAGCTGAGATGAAATAAGCTAAGCTAAGATGAGATAAGCAACGCTAAGCTACGGAGACGTAACTGGGGGAACCGCGGGGCGGATGCCGGGGGAACCGCCCGGGGCGCGTTCCACTGCCCGGCCCCTTTAAGATGCAGGGTAAGAACCTTCTAGGCAGAGCCTAGGTAGGGAACTATATGTCTGTCTCAACACACAGCACAACACACAACACACACAAGCAACACACACACACACACAACACACACACGCGCACACGCATTACACGCAGAACAGACATGACCCACACATAAGCCACATACAGCATATGCACAACACAATACACGCACACAGCACACAACACACATAACACAAACCTTTCACCACACACACACACACACACACACACACACAAAAACAAGCACGCACACACACACACACACACACACACACACACACATGCACACACGCACGCACGTACGCACGCACGCACGCACGCACTCACGCACACACACACACACACACACACACACACACACACACACACACACACACACACACACACACACACACACACACACACACACACACACACACACACACACACACACACACACACACACGCACACACACACACACGCACACTCATCCTGCACGTGTGCTTGTATGAGCCTGAGCACGCATGTGCCATTGTATATAATAGATAACAAGATGAATCCGCAAATTTCCCTGGCGACGTGCCCAACCCCAGCGCAATGCGGGGCAGGAGCAGCTTAGGAGATTTAAACATGGACGCATATACTTCTGCGAGCGGCATTCGGAAGGTTCGAAGGTCCTCAATCAAGGGAAACACGATGAGTAACTAAGTGAACCCCTGAGTCACTAAGTTAGACGCAAGGTCCAAAAGGATACGGTGGGCAAGGGGCCTGAAACGTCGGCAGGGCAGCAACAACATGACATGGCCCCCCAAGGACGGCGAGGCCCTGCTCAGATCTGCGCGGTGTCTCACTCCGCTGGACCCACCAGCAGCCTTCGAAAGCGGCGAGCCCACCAGCAGCCCTCGAAAGTGACGACGGTTTCGCAGATCGCAGCCCCCCAGGGACGGGGAGGTCCGCTCAGATCCGCGCGGTGCCTCACTCCGTTGGACCCCCCAGCAGCCCTCGAAAATGGCGACGTTTTCGCAGATCGCAGCCCCCCAAGGACGGGGAGGTACCGCTCAGATCTGCGCGGTGCTTCACTCCGCCGGACCCAGCAGCAGCCCTCGAAAGTGGCGACAGGTTCGCAGATCGCAGCCGCCCAGGGACGGGGAGGTACCGCTCAGATCTGCGCGGTGCTTCACTCCGCTGGACCCACCAGCAACCCTGGAAAGTGTCGACAGTTTCGCAGATCGCAGCCCCCCAGGGACGGATGTACCGCTCAGATCTGCGCGGTGCCTCATTCCGCTGGACCCACCAGCAGCCCTCGAAAGTGGCGACAGGTTCGCAGATCGCAGCCCCCCGGGGACGGGGAGGTAGCGTTCAGATCTGCGCGGTGCCTCATTCCGCTGGATCCACCAGCAGCCCTCGAAAATGGCGACAGTTTCGCAGATCGCAGCCCGCCAGGGACGGGGCGTTACCGCTCAGATCTGCGCGGTGCTTCACTCCCCTGGACCCAGCAGCAGCCCTCGAAAGTGGCGACAGTTTCGCAGATCGCAGCCCCCCAGGGACGGGGAGGTAGCGTTCAGATCTGCGCGGTGCTTCACTCCGCTGGACCCACCAGCAACCCTCGAAAGTGGCGACGGTTTCGCAGATCGCAGCTCCCCCCCAGGGAGAGGAGGTACCACTCAGATCTTCGCAGTGCCTCACTCCGTTGGACCCACCAGCAGCCTTCGAAAGTGGTGGCAATTTCGCAGATCGCAGCCCCCCAGGGACGGGGAGGTACCGCTCATATCTGCGCGGTGTTTCACTCCGTTGGACCCACCAGCAGCCCTCGAAAGTGGCGGCAGTTTCGCAGATCGCAGCCCCCCCCCAGGGACGGCGAGGTCTCGCGGGAGACAGGGGGCGGGAGGCAGGAGGCGGGAGGCGGGAAGAGGACGCGACCGCAGTGCTCCATGCAAAACGAATACCCAACCAAGGAGGGTTGGTAAAAATGAAAATACATAATAGAACGATATGTGTAAAGTTCCCACACGCACACACACGCACGCACACACACACACACACACACACACACACACACAAGTGCCATACACAAACCTTTCAGAAAATGATGAAACCTCTTCGGGGGCTTCTGAGACGGGGCCGCCCCCTTCCGCGAAGGAGAAGCCGCCCCCCTGCCATCCAAGAGGGCCTCTCCCCCCTCGCCCTGGCCCCCCCTCGGCGCGCCGCCAGAGGAGGCCGGCTACGAGGGGCTGCGCACGGTGGACTTCTCGCAGTGGCGGGACTCCATCTTGGCGGACCCAGAGCAGTTCAAGAGTTGGTCGTCAGTATCGTTTTGCCGACCCTTATCCCCATCCCGCTCCCGAGACCGACCATCCCACCACCCCAGTTTGAGACACACACACACACACACACACACACTTCGAAACTTGAACGGAGCAGCCTATATCCCCATCCAGGGAGGTAAATCGGCCAGTGGGGCCCAGGCCACACGGGTGGGGATAGGGATCGTTGAAACGATGCTCAGGTCGTTCTGCGCCGCACTCTCCGTCGAGGGCGACGGGATCGACTCCATGGTCGAGGGCAAGGAGGGCGCCAAGGCCATGCGCGCGGCGGTCGGCGCGGAGGCGTTCGACAGCTTCAGCCCCAGGGCGTGCCTGGAGAGGTCGCTGGAATACTGCATCGCGAACGGCCTGCTGCCCCCGCCCGACGCGGCCGTCCCAGAGGGCCCCGCTCCCTCGGGGGGGATCGGCGGGGCTGCCGATCTGGCCGATGCCCCAATCGATCGGGACACTTGGCGCTCGGTCGGCGGTGTGCTCCGCGCCTGCGGAGGGAAGGCGCCTGATGGGCTCTGGAGCACGAAGGGGGGGGGGGGTAGAGGGGTGGGCGAGGACAAGGGTCTCTTCGGTACCTCTTGGGGCGTCCTGGGGGGCCTCGTGGCGGCCTCTTCGTGGCCTCCTCAAGACCTCCTGGGAGCCTGCTGGGGGCCTCTTGGGGTGCCTTGTGGGGGCCCCTTGGGGGCCTGCAGGCAGGGAGGGGTGCTTCGTGCTTCCAAGGCGACCCAGCTTCTGCGTTGTGAGCTTCCATGGCCGAGGGGCCTTAGATTCAGCACGCCCTGGCTCCCTCGAGCTCGCGCCTCGCGAGGAGGCGGAGTGGGGGGGCACAGGACCTCTCCTTTCCACGGTCGGGATCGGCGGTCTCCAAGCGTCAAGGTCCCGAGTTCTTCCTGGCCTCCAGCCCCGCGCGACACGCCATCCGCTTGCCAGGCATAGCGCGTCGCCGGGGCCGCCGCCGCGACACGCTGAGCACAAGTTCCTGGCCGTTGTCACCCTTCGTTTCGCCAGCAGCTCCTCCGATCACGGGTCGGAGAGCGAAGCGAGGGCCGACGGAAGCCCAAGGCGGCCAGCAGCAGCTGCTGCACCTCGACCGCGGTTGGCTCGCGCCCTCTGGCGCGGCCACTGCTGGGCGAGCCGTAGGGCACAGGAGGCGATCGAGGTGCTCGTGGAGACCACCAGCGGCGCCTCAAGTTGTTTTAATCGTTCCCCCACAGCGGCTGGCGCACGGATGTCTAGGCAAGCTGTGTCGGCGACGGGCGATCCCGATCGCCACACGAGCGACGGAGGAAACGGGGTCGATTGCGCCGACGTTCGCGCAGCAGCTTCCCGCGCCAGGCCGCGCGTAAGCGCCTTCTTCTGTTCTTCACGCGGTGTGCCACGCCAGCGGCCCGCGTAAGCCGCTGCGTAAGGTCGCTATGTCTTCTCGAATCGACCCGTTTGTTCTCGTCGCTCACATGTGACAAACCGCAAGTTGTCGACTTCTTATAGAGGCTCCAAGGCCGCGGCGCACAGGCAGCGTATTGTTTCAAGGTTTTTCCCGCCTGGGCCGTCGGGGCTGGATGTAGAGGATGCCGGTGCCGGCGTTTCGTCTCTCGTGTTCCCTTCCTCACATCCTCACCCTTCCAACCTCATCCCTCCTCCTGCTCTGCTCCTCTTCCTTTTTCTCTTGATCACCTCCATCCCCATGATCAGAATCCTTATCGGCACCATCATCCCCACCCTCACCACACCACAATCACCGTCGTCATCATCATCGTAATCATCCGTATTCATGTTGGCTCACGGCCAAAAGGGCGATTCAATTACTGCCTAAACGGGGTAGGCTCACAACCCGCTGTCAGCTGCTGCAGTGCGTTTCCACTTCTTCCATGTCCAGGTCCTGATCCGCCCGAGGCCCTCCATACACAAGTCCTGGTTCGCCCTCGGCACATCCATATTCAAGCCCTGGTCTGCCCAAGGCACGTCCGCATACAACATACAAATGCTAGTCCGCCCCAGGCACGGTCAGCGTTCTGGCAGAAGGTGGTTTCCGTGCTCGAACACTTGCTGTCGCGTGCGCTGGTAATTACCACGTTCGTGCCGCATCCTTTCTTCGTGAGTAGCCAGTGTTTCCTGGAGACTTTGGTTTCCAGCAGCAGCTTTTTTGTCGACAGTGAGGCATTCCCAGTACGACTCCGCTGATATTCAACGTAGCTTCCAGCAGTGGCCGCAGCGCATCCTTGTTGTCCACCAAACCGCCCACACGGCGGAAGCCTCGAGCAGAACGTGGGACGGATCACCCAGCCCGAGGAGACACCCGCAATTCGAGGAGCGAGCATGGCGTCAAACACCGAGCAGCACAAGCGCAGTATGATGATCGTGAACGCTTTCGCAGAGAGCGCATACACGATGCTCGTGACTGTGCTGCCCAGAACCCAACGGACAAGTCCGCACTGAGCCTACGCCGACCCGTCGTGCAGCACGCATTGGAGCGGGAGCCGCATCACGTTCCGCCCCATCACGATCAGCCACAGGTCTTGTTGGAGGACCTGCGCCGCCAGAGGCGAGGACACCCTCATGCGAGAGCCACCCTTGGGCTAGCTCGTGGTCAGTGTCACAATTTCCGCGCACAGAAGCAAAATTGGCACATGTTCGGCGAGTGGAAGCAGAAGTGGTCATTTTCCCAGGCACCCCAGTGGCAGGTGCAGGCGCAACACCAGCTACACCAGTGGCAGTAGCTGGGCCAAGTTGCGAAGGCGCAGCCACACCAGCTGATCAACGTACCCTCGAGGAGCGCCTCCCTGGTCTTTTTCACAGCTCAGATGGACATAGCTTCCACACGTCTCCAGGCAGAACCAGTGGCCAGCATCCAAAGAGTTCAATCAGCATTACATGGCGAACTACGGCGTGCACTTAGGTTGGCCAGACAGCAAGGGTAGTGCATCGACGGCATCGACACCAGCATTCGTGAAATATCTCACGCACCTACATCGTCGGGCAGGAGCAGCAGCAGCAGATGCGTGCAGACGCTGAGCGCATGCAGGCGGCCCTGGCCATGATTGAGGCCACATTCCGTGTCCTCGGCATGGCGGCGCTCGCGGTCTGGGACCGACCCCCAGCCCCTTTCTATACCATCGGAGCCCCCTCCGCCATCCAGCCGTCAGAGGTCAAGAGGGCGCCCGAGCCCTGGCTCCACCCTCTACGCGGAGCTCATCGGAGACGCCCCAGCGAGGCGTTTTCTTTTTCATGTTACTTGGAGGACCAGCTGCTTCATCACAGAGTTTGCCAATGGCTCGCAATCTCAAAAGCGAGGGGCAATGGCGTACTTTCTCTGCTTCCAACACATCGGGGGGCCATCACACCGCTCTATCCCAATGCGGACAAGCCACCGAAGACACTACGACGTGAGCTTCAAACGAAGCGGCCGGCACTTATGCTCGTTTGCAAATACGGACAACACCAGTTATGAAAAGTTGGAGATGAACGCATCATCGCATGCAGCTCCGTTCTTCTGGTGGGTCTTAAGGCCGGCACACATGTCAACGAAATTGACTTCGGACCAACAGCGAATTTGCATCGACGAAGTAGTCATCAATGACGACTTCCAACGGCTCTTTCTCGCCGCGGCAACCTGCGACTGGAGCGGTTCACGAGGGCATCAGCCATCATTCTGGCGCAGGAGGCTCATGGTGCGCGCCCGCAACTCGAAGTGCTCATCGCGCCCTCACCGCACCACTACAAGGTCTACCATTCACAGGCAGACCAAGCGCGAGAAGGGGGGCTCTTTTCCGACCCTGGCCTACAGACCACGCGCCAGACCAACGCCATCTGGTTGCCCTTGGACAACTCTCGCCCCTGGGAGCGCGGCCACGCTCCGGGCCGCGCGCCCACCTGGGGCGCGCAGCGCAGTCTTCACGAACGCCTATTGTCATGCCGTCACGAACAAGGACACTCGCATCATCAGCAACAAGTTACAGCCTTGGGCAACATGGGGCAGCCACAATCCTTCGGGGAGAATTTGCATTGCGACGGGCGCACTCAACATTCGGGAAGGCGCCCCTCTGTCCCACGATCACCTTAGCCCCGAGGAGGTGCATCTTCACGCGCAGAGCACGCATCGGCAGTTGAAGGTATACCGACGGCAGATTTTTGATATAGTTCAAGAAATCCGCCCTGCCCCCCCCCCCCCCCCCCCCCCCCCGCATTTCAGCAGGCAGCGCGACGCGGCGTCGGCCGTGGATCGGGTCTTTCTCGGCACGCCAGGGCACTATTTGATCAACGCTGACATTCATCACTCTGCGGGCCGCTGATCCACTGGAGATGTTACAGTTTCGCTGGAGCGACCACTCCATCGCCCACGCATCGCCCCGCACAAGCTCGACGCGGCAGAAGAACCGCAGCGCACTCCGGACGTCGCGTTCATGGACGCGAAGGACAAGGCCAGATTGGAGGGGTTGGCCTCGGGGGGGGATCTCGACATATTTGCGCCTGCAGGGACGGGGCGTGCACGAAGGCGCGCGCGACTGAAGCGGCGCGGCAGGCCAGGGATAAACTTCGACGGCCGCCCCACCGCCCCAGTGAGGAGAGGGCGAAGAGGGGCCGCAACATCACGGCTCGCAGCATTGCGCGGGCAGCTTGGAAGCAGGATGCGCGGCAGGCGTCGCCGCCCACGGCGACGACAGCCCCTCGCGCGCGGCCGAGCTCGAGGCGCCGCGGGCGCGGGCAGCGCGAACAGCGCAGGCGGCGCAGCGAGGAAGGGGCCCCGCCGCAGCAAAAGTTTACCGTCGTCAGATCCGTTCCGCCCGCGGGCGGGCGCGCCCCTAGAAGCCTACGGACCGCGGGATGGTCGCAGCAGGCACTCGCCCAGAACGCGCCCTTGAGGCCTCGGAGCCCCCCATCTGGGGAGACCCCAAGCAGGCCCGCCAGGCCGCCCTGGCCGACATCTGGGGCAAGAAATTCAAGCATGCCCCAGCTGACAAGGGCGCCATCGAGGCGCACGTGGACCAGGTGCACGGCGGCCCCAGAGACCCCCACAAGCGATTCCAAGCATTGAGGACCTCGACGCCGCACTGAAGAGAATTAGCCCCCCCCCCCTGCCCCGACAGCCCCCCTTAGAAGGCTCGGGTGACGAGACGGAGCAGCAGCTTCAGCACCAGACTCGAACGTTACTTCCTGCCCTATGGTGACCGGCGAGCGCGACTCCAAGCAGAAAAAGTACACCAAGCAGCGCATCCAGGATTCCACGCAGCACACGACCTCACCAAGCTGCACACTCAGGACCCCCGCACAGGGCCATCGAGGAGAGTACGACTCAAGGAACATCCAGTCAACCACGACACCAAACAAATCATTCAAAATGGTTGCTCTATTGCCAGGGGTCGACCGCCACGGGAGAAAAGCGCAACTACTTTGCCAATCCTGACCCCGCTGCCGAAGGGAAGGTCTCCGGTGACAGCGTCGCCAGTGCCTGCCTGCAAAGCGCACATGTCAGAAGAAGAAGATGTAAGAAGGCCATGTGCCCGTATAGCCCACAAGCAGGTCATAGAGGACCACTACGTTGACTGCGGTTCAGACCTCACGGGACTCTCACCTCACATGCTTGGCCCACCCGCGATTGGCGAGCGGTGTCCCTCCGACGAGTGCGACGAGGACGACCACGGCAACCTCACCTCTGGCTTGTCTACGCAATGGTTCTCAGGATCGTCGGCCCCAGCCTCAGATCACCACCTGGCGAGTGCTCGGACGATATCGCAGCACACCGAGTTCGACGCCATCCACCACCCCCTCATCTACCTCGCCACACTCGACCACGGCGTCGACATCATCGAGGTTTGTGGTGGGGAGGCTCGGACTAGCCAACTTGCTGTCCGACGCTATTTCAGGGCGGGTGGGAGCTTCGACTTGGTCACTGGCTGCGACCTCAACGACGAAGTCAGGCAACGCGCAACGAAGAGGTGCGTCGACCGCACCGACCTCTAGCGGCCATCATGACCGTCGCGCGCCGCCCATTCGGTCGCCGGGCGACGCACAACTACAAGCTCAACTACGAAACGCGGCTACGCCCCCACCAGGGCGCCGCCCCGCAAGGACGGTTTTGTGGCCACACGGCACGACAACAGTGGGAGTGGGACAGCTACTTCGTCAACGAACAGCCCGACCCGTCGCGGCTACGCCGCGCGCCGCCGCGGCCAGACGCGCACGCAGCATCTGGCGTGGGCCAGGTCGTCTTCGGCCAGTGCGCGCCCGGACTCCGCGATCGGCACGGTGGCATCTCGAGAAAAACCACGGGTTCCGTC